TTTCCCTGGGTTGTTCTGCCACGGGGATTGCGGTCAGCACGTAAACGTACTTCTCCCGAAAGGCATCCAGGTCAGCAAGGGACGGGCCTGCAAGAGACAACTTTAACAAGTTACGGCCTCCTAAGGTTCCTATCCTACCTCGTTCCAACTGAAAGTGCTTGAAGATGGCACGCAACATGATTCTCCCTACGGGCATTCCACCTGTCGAGATTCTCTCTTGTTCAACCATGTTTTGAAACAAGAGCCCGAACTTACCTTTGCGGCAGGTTTTAAGGAGCTTTGCGGCTACTTCACGATCTAACCGTGGGAAACGCTTGTCCGCGATGAGTTCTTGCTCGGTGGAGGACATGCATGCTTGGGCCCACTGGTAAACTTCATCTCCGGGGGTCTTCTGGAGTCGACCGATGGCCATCAAAACTTGGTTGACGAAACCTCGAGCCTGACCAGCGTTCTCCGGAGTGGATGGTAGTACAAGATCCTTGAGATCCTTGACGCGGACAACGGACTCCTCATATGCGGCGTGATCTACGGCGGTCATGCCTGCACTGGGATCGGCAGCTTGAGACGGGTCTGGATTGGGGAACTGGCCAGAGCCTCCCCCGCCTCCCCCACCACCATTCATGGTGAGGTATGGGCAATCCGTGTCTTCATGGCTGCCGCCGCAAACTCGACATTGCGGGGTATCATCATCTCCATCGGAGTCTGATGATGAGTCGGAGCTAGCGGCCGATGGCGCTTGTGGGGATGACGAGTACAACCCTCCCAACATTGTGATTGGTACTGGCGGAACACGAGTGCCGTTGCCAGCTTTTGGTGGAGGCGGCGCCCCTGCAAGGGGCATGGGAGGCGCTGGAGGTGGTGCGGCCGGAGGCGGAGGTGGCGGAGCCACTTGATTAGCAACCAGTTGGGAAAGTTGCTCAACCATTTCCACTAGAACCGTCACTTGCATTCTCACATCGGCTTGATCCCTTGTACCGTCTCTACCCAACCCGCTAGTCCTCGACGCGCCAGGGGCTGCATCTCCAACAGAGGACACTGCTCCTAGCACTGACGAATGGCCTGCGAGATGTTGACTTGTTGCACTCCCACCAGGGTCCCTTGAATCAGCTGGGGCATCGTGACCAAGTCCTGAACTTTGAACAGGACCACTCGGAGGGTCGGGGATAGTACTTGGAAAAGCATTCCCTTGCGACGATGCGGCAACACCGGAGGCATCTTGTGAATCTGAAACCTGAGGTGCTCCAACCGGCTGATGGGTTCCTGGGGGAACTGTGCCCTGACTTGAGGCCTTAGCCGCGCTTGTTTCCGTAGCTGTTTCGGCTATTGATGCGGCTTTAGGCGGAGACTCTTGAATCGGAACAGGAGTCGCACGAGCTTGTTGGGTGAGGTGCGCAACAACACGTTCGAGATCACCAAGTCGTTGATGCATCACAGAATTTTCCTGGGACAATCCACGAATGGTATGCTCTTGACTGGCAATGGTTTGTTCTCTTTGCGAGATTGCCTGTTGAGCTTCTTGAACAATGCGTTGAACCTCTTGTTGTGCGTCCTGTTGAGTGGCATTAACAACCTGTCGTGCGTTCTCGACATGGCGCTGTTTGTACAGCCTGCTGTGCTTGTGAAGCTATATGAGCAGCCTGAACCCTAACATCTGATACTTCTCTTACAGCCCTCTCCCTGATCCATCCGGCCTCTTGTCTCACCTGGTCGGCGGCCTGCTGTTGGTGCAAGGCGTGATTGGCTGCCTGAGCAGCGAGGTCGGATGCTCGATGAGCTTGCTGCACCGCAGCTCCAGCAATAAATGCCGCAGCCGGTACGTTAGTCATCGGGTCGGGCAATTGCGATCCCTGTGAAGGAAACTGAATGGCTGGGGAAGCTTCGGATGATGTAGGTTCTGACACGATCGGACCACTCGGTCGTGTTTGGGCTGCCCGTTGAGGTGTGGATGTGCGAACTGTGGACATAGCTGCAGGAACCATGGCTAGATCAGGGTCATCCGGTTCAGAATCCCTATTTGGGGTTGACCTTGAACGGGGTTCTGATGGCGGTGACAAGCCCGTTGAAGCCATGACACAGCAATGCAATTTTGCACTCACACGAAGCTAGCTCCACGCGCTTTGAGCAGCGTGTCAAAAGGTGCTACGAGGAGATATCCCTGGATTGGCAGCTGGTTGCGAAACGCTCAAGTGAGCCACTCAAGAAAATACGCCCTGCTGCTTTGCACCTGATGAATTCTGCATTTGCAATTGTACTTGTAGATTGATTGATCCGCACTGCCGCACTATGGTGCTTTATCGAGGGATGTTGCCAAGCTGTATTGAGAATTTGTCTGCAAATCGAATGCCTGTAGCTGCAAAGATGCTGTACCGCGCAAAGCGACGGTTTTAACGGCTTGCAAAGAAAGGCTATCGGAGTACCCGGTTGGCGGGCAACTGGGATGCAGATCGGTGGAGCTCCTCGAGGTACTGCGATGGATGCAGGCCCCTTGCCGCCGGAATGAAAAGTCGATTCCGGGACTCGAGAAACTCCCCGAGGTTCTCAAGCGCGTTGGCACATCCGCTCGGCCCGAAATGCGGGAAGTTGCGGAACGCCGCGATGCCTGTCTTTTGAGCTTCACGGACAATCGCAGCTGTATCGTCAATGAGGGCGTGAACACCCAGCCCCAAGAGGGCGTCTGCTTTGCCGCCCCTGCCCAACCTTTCGTGTACGATTTTTATCGCAGAGAAAGTGAGTCCAGCTGTCGCCCGCGCGTGCTCCAGGGCGACCTGGAACTCACAGCGGCGATACTCGCTTGCAGCCCTGCCCACGAAGGATAGCACTATAAAATTTATAGGTGCGTAGTCGGCTGCAAATTGAACAAGATGCCGGATCACCTCCGGGTTGAGGTGGGGTCCCTGCTGCCCAGAGCGATGGTGAGCTCCTTGGGCGGCACAGGCCTTCCAGGCGGCGGGGGTGGCGCAGGCGGTGGCCTTCTTGGCGGCGATCGAAAGCGTGCGCCAGCCTCGGAAGTTGCAGCGCTAGCAGCAGCTGCTTTAACGACCTGCGGCGGTGGCGGCTTGACGATGTACCCTTGTGGCGGGTTTGAGCCCGATTTGCTTCTGGGTTCGGCTTTGTTCAAACCTCGCGGAGGCGCCTTGTGCCCGAATGCACTCTGAGTCCGAATAGGAGACCTTGCTCGTGGCGGGGATTTCCTCGGAATATCTGCTTTTCCCGGTGCCGAAGAAGCTGCGCGAGGAAGTTCCTTGGGCAATGGAGGCTTGCTGCCAAAAATGACCTTTGGCGCGGCCTTTGGTGGCGGCGGTTGAATTGCTCCAATCCTCCGGCTATGCAAAGCAATAGGCTCAGTGTGAGTCGGTGCCTCGTATACGCGCCGAGGCACGTAAGCTGACCTGCCAGTTCTGATGGATTCCGCGTCCTGCGGAGGTTCCTCTTCCGAGCTGTAGGCGTCGAGGCGATAGTGCTCCGCTGGCCCTGGGCGTCGATCTGGAGATCGTGATCGCGAACTTGTGGATGATCTTCTTGGGGGATCTCTCCACGTCTCGTCCGCAAGCGAATACGGGTCAGCCTGACGCTCGGCGGTGAGATGTCGCCTCACGTGGCTGTGAAGCCGCCCGAACGAGTACCCAAGTGCCGTGCTCGTCAAATCGTGTCACAGGGTATATACTGTTCTGTGGAGCCAATACAATGGGCCGTGTGGCAAGGGAAGTCCTGGATGGCCTGCCCTCCCGCGCAAGCGCGGGTTCAACACTGTGTGCCCGATGTTCCACAGGGGTAGCAGCAGTCGGTCCTCGTCTCGGAGGCGATGGAGACCTCGACCTTCGGGGCGATGGGGACCTCGATCTTTGTGGCGACCGTTCCCTGCTGCTCTCCCGCCGCGTTTCCGCAGCTCTAGCGTACACCCCGCGAAGCGCTGTCTTGGCGGCGCCCCGCAACACTTGTCTTTCCTCTGCTGATGGTCGGATGCGAGGCAATGGAGTGCGCGAATCTTGTAGCCAGGATGAAGCTGAAGGAGGCGTCGGAGGGCGTAGCCAGTCCGCTGCACTGCTCGCTGCTTCCGCCGCGCCAGAGGCTGCGGCTTTATCCTGAGATTGCACACCTTGCGGCAAGACCACACCTGCGGTTTCAACCGATGCGAGACGCTGCTGATAAGCGTTGTCCGCGGCCTGGATCACTTCGAAGGCCTCTTGGTCAAAATCCCACAGGTGCCAACTATCCAATGACTCACGCCAGGAAAAGAGCGCCTCGATCTGTTGCTTCGAGGCGTCTGCAAACCTGACCCACCGGAATCGCCTGTCCTGCCGCTTGTACTCGTCAACGACGATCTGTTGCAGAGTGTTGAATAGACGGGCACGCGGCCCTTTCCCACCGCGAGTGCCGCGGTGAGGGCCGGCTTCCATGTGCGACCAAACGGTCGCAGTCACGGAGGGGTTTGTTTACCCGAAAAGCGTTACGGCTGATAACCACTCAAAGGAGAGGGAAACACAGTTTTGTCAACAACGGGGGAACCCGGGACCTTAAAAGGAACGAACCCCTCCGTGACTGCGACCTCTCCCTTAACCTTGTGGGAAGCGCGAGCAACGCGCTCTTTTCAGCACTTGAGCCAAATGACATGCGGGCATGTCACCTGGATCCTTGTCATGTTTGTACATCATGCAACTTGTTGTACCTCTGGGCCATAAATGTCATCGTGATAATTGACTAATACATGCCTGAATTCACATGGGGCTGTCTTTCTTTGAGGGTACCTGTCTCCGCATTGAAAATGTTCGAAAGCTATGTTGTTGGTCCGCAAGATCAAGCCCATTGACTTTTGTTCTAGCATTCGTAGTTGTGGGCCTTGCTAGAGTCCCTATGGAGCCAGGTGGTAGAAGTCTACCTGCTAAAAAAACAAATGTAATAACGGAACCAGCTGGTCAATGGAAGCAAGGACTAAATCCTGCGGTCCATTTCCTGACTTCATTTTGACCCGTAACCAAATGGCCAACTGAGAGGTTGCGGACCTGGCCGAAGTTCTCCTGGAGCACCCCCGCTTCCCCCAGCAAGCGCAGAGCGATGCCCACACCTGATCGGCGGGCTCAGAGCTCGCTCGGAGCTCGCTCGGAGCTCGAAACGCCCATTGGAAGTAGACACGGGTAGCTCGTTTTTTGGGGGGGAACCCCCTTTTGGTTTAAGGACAAAGGAAAGGCCACCTATTTGGAGGGTCTCCAATTTTAAGACAATCCCAAAGGCGTCTTCCGAAACCCGCCCAACAAGGTGGGGGTTGGGCAATTTGGGGTTTCCCAACGCTGCCAAGTCCCCAAGCTCGTTCCGGGACAAAGGCGACTTGTCCTTCTTGCGGCCAAAATCTTTGACAAGACGAGGAAACCGCCGAACCAAACCGCGGCCCTTTCGACCAACGTTCCTGGCAGGCGACTGCCAACTGAAAATGACCAGGAAAGCACGTTGTGGGAACCCGGATTGCATCATGCGGGCGGTTGAATATATGATTAATATAGGGACATCCCTGAGATGGTGCTGAAAGGAAAACAAACCAAAGCCCGCCATTTGGGCAGGCACATCCTTGCCAACTCCCATATTGTCTTTCTTGGAGGGCATCCATTTTGGGGGGCACGGTGACGCCCGAAATATTGCAAGTCAGGGAACCAGGAGATCCTCTTTACCGTAATTTGCCAATTATTCTGTGGTTGAGTATGGCTAGCTTGCTTGCGATATGGCGAACGGGGCATCCACCGTACCAACCTCAAACAAGACAGACCCATGCATTAGTGTGTGTGTGTGTGTGTTTTCTTTTTTGTTGGGGGGCGACTTTTGAAGATGGAGTTGGTTTTCAAATTGTGGCTGCCTTTTAAACCCACCAAACAATGTACCACTCAAAAAATGGACAGACCCATATGGGTCTGCCTTTTTTGGGGCCCCGTCCTTCGGCTGGCTTATAAGGAAATCAACCATTTTAGGGGACCCAAAAAAGACAGAATCATTTGGAGGGTTTTTCTCCAAGCGACGGACTCAGGCCCCCAGGGGCTCGCTCGAAACTTGGGCGCCCGGCTGGTGGGTGCAAGGGCAGTCCCCGCAGAGATGCCGTCGGGCCTGCGCGTCATTTCACAATCTCAGAGGAAACCGATCAGCTGCCTGAAGTGTCAGTGAATTGAACGCAGACTACGCAGGGTGAAACATGGGAAACATCCCATTTCGAGAGACTCGTCCCGGTCTTGTGCAAAACCCGGCAAACCCGAAACGGGCGGTCCGTTTTGCTTGGAGGTTCTGAGCCACCGGCATGAAGGGCCGGCCAAAGGCCATGGTCAGCAGGGTGCCGAAAATCTCAGCAAACGATGTGTCAGCCTTCCACAGTCCCTGCGAATTCAAGGGGCCCGGACCCAAAACCCATTGCAAAGAGTCAAAAGTGGGGCTCCGGCGGTTGTTGTTTTCCTAAAATACAAGAGAAAAACAGCAAAGGGACTGATGATTGAAAAGAGGAAAAATAAAAAAAGAACACCTATGCTCCCATCAGCTTCCATGAGCTTGGTGCCGGGCCAGCGGCAGGATGGTGCCCAAGACAGCGACGCAGCACGCCGGAGGGCCCACAATCTGACGTCGCCGAAACGTGATGCTTGCATGGAAGTGATTTCTCCAAGGGGGGCCCTGATTTGGAGAAACACCCCATCCTGCCCTGTCTTGCATGCTTTCAGACGCGCCTTGGCTTTCTCAAAGTCGAAGTGCATGCCGCTCTCGAAGATCATGAGCCCGACACCTGCCGTGCATGCCAACAATCCATGTTCAAATCGTTCGGGCGCCAGCCTGCATGGCCAATCAGCGTGAAGAAGTCTGGGAATGACCCGCACTGGTTGTCGACTTCCTGCGCCCAATCAGCATTGCGATGGAACTTTCCAAGCAGCCAAAGCTTCAGCCGACGGGTCAGTCATGCTCGCACTCTTTGATGAGGCACTCTTTGTAGCTGCTGTAGTGACCTTCACCCAAACCAAAAAAGACACATGACACACACACACACACACAACCAGACAAGCACCCGATTCGCAGCTCAGCACATGAGGGCCGCGCCGCCCGAAAGACGCCTGCGCAGGTTCAGCAAATGCTTCGAGGCGTGAGCTCAAATAGGGCCCAAAGCCCCGCCTATGGCCGCCACCTCAGCTCCGGTTGGTGAAAGCTCATGACTCAAAAAAGAGATCGGACCCCCTTTTTGAGGGTATTTGAGGGGAAACCAAAGGAACACCAGCCATTTTGGGGGGTGTTCCCTATTTTGCGAACCCGAATTCGACTTTCGAAATCCTGCAAACTTTGTCACTTGATCACCAATGGTCGGTGCTGTGGTCGGCGCTGTGGTCAGCGGTGTCGGCGCTGTGGTCAGCGGTGTCGGCGCTGTGGTCGGCGCTGTGGTCGTCGGCGCTGTGGTCGGCGCTGTGGTCGGTGTCCCCATGAAGCTCCTGGCGTAACAACCATCCAAATGGTTCATCGGCCTGACAAAAATGTTGAAATAAAAGCAATCCGCACACAAAACCACAGGCGAGATTCCTCAGACACGACTGGCGTGGCTCCACCCACGTAGTCAACGGTCACGTTGAAGAGGCCGTGCCCATTCTTAGCCCGTGTGAAGCTTTTAGGCAGAACGCGAATCCCACTCAGCTCCCGGATCTACCCAATCGCGCTCCCGCCCCCCCCATCTTGGCCAGCGACAACGTGGCCATGACCGTGGTCTGAGCAGGATTGGCAAACACAAACTGCATGGCCAGCCTATGACACCTGCCCTCCCAGCAACACTGACAATTGGTTCCCCATGTCTCACATACTCAAAATCCCCAATCCCTGTTTGGCCACGCCGTTGTGGATAGCCCGACTGCAAACAAGTGCTGCGCGACATTCCCGCGATTTTCACCAAGCTCCCCATGACTTGAGCCCGGGGCCATAGTCGGCAGCGTGGCAGAGATCCATCGAGGCGATGCGGCCCAAGGTCTGGGAAGTCAGATCCAGAGCCCAAGGCAATGAGAAGGGGAAGCTAAAAACCGAGGGGAAACTACGATGCGTCGGCCTCCACCCCCAATAAGCAACAAAGACTCATCTCAGCACCAGCACCTGTACCTCGAGCACCCTGCCAAGTGGGAATCACCTCGCCATATACATAGGACGTGAGAGTGTACCTTTCAGCTATGGGAAATTGGTGAACAACTGGGGGGCATGAAAAGGCAAAGGACACACTCCAGGTGCCACTATGAGGTTGGTGACACTGGGAAAAAGCGGCTTTGGTAACAGCTTTCCAGCATATACAACAACATCTAAAACCCGTCGCCTTCCGAAAATGTGCTTCGCTCAGAAGAAGAGACCAAGTGCCCTGAAGGGGACAACAAAGCAGAAGCCAGATTCGCCAGTAAGCGGAATATGCGCAGGACGGCGTCTTAAGATGCTTTACTTCCACAGCCGATGCATGCGACTCTGCTGTCTCCAAGGCCCCGGGCTGCTCCCAGTGGAAGGCCGTTCCTCAGACAATACGTGCGCGGTCGTTCCCGGAACTTCGTTTCAAGGCTCCTACAGCTGGACCCCAGTCCGGGATATGAATTGCATGGGAGTTGACCGGCCTGGCCATATTCGAATACACGTGATCTTTGCCACTCCTTTGCCTGTCCCCAATCAAAAAAATGTGAAACGAGCGACCCTGGCGTGGCACCGAAATACCTCAACATGCACCACAAAAGAAAACTCCACCCCCCCTCCCAAGCGCTCGATGTTGCCGCACGGCGCTCCCATGCCGAGCTTCGCGATCCTGTCGTCCAGATCCTCCGGGCCGCCGCAGTCATCCCAGCGCTTGGTCTCGCAGACCTCTCAGTAGCGGCCCGAAGGCCCGAGCCGGGGTCCAGTCTACCAAAGAATCATGGAAGCTGGCAGGTTTTGGCCAGCGAAGCCCCCTGTCCACTTGGAAAAGGGGTATCTCTCCATTGGCTCAAATGAGGATGAATTTCAATAGACCTTGTTGCGGACATCATATTTAGGAGGTTTATGTGAGCCAGCTTCTTTTTTTTTTGGGGGGGGGGGGGGGTCTATTGCAGCTTCATGGCCAAATGCAGCTCGGCCGAGCAGCACTCAGGACTTGAGTTCTCAGTGTAACTCAATCCGCGTATTTGTTTACGTCAGATTGGCCCAAACAACAGTATATAGCCCTAACACCACGCACGACGATTCATCCGCTTCCTTCGTCAAAAATGCGCCCAAGAGAGTTAACGCGCGAAACGTGAAAGACAGTAAGGCAGTGAGGCAGTAAGGCAGCGGCCGTGTACACGGGGCTCACGACACCGAAGCCCCTGGCACTGGGAGCGGATCTTTGGCCGTGGGTCGTGGCATAGAAAACGGAAACAAACAGCCCCGCCAGTCCCGAAAAAAAGAACAAAACAGCAGACAGCTTCGGCCGGCCTGGGACCCAGGGCGACCCCCACGACGATCTCAAGCACAATGGAGGAAATCCTGATGGCTTCTGGGGCGTTCCACGCCCGGGCCCTCTCTGAAACCAAATGGGAACCTCGCCACCAACCCGAATCAAAAGGAAGCCAGGAGAGAACGCACGTCTGAAAAAGTTCCCCTCCGATCCTTGCAAGACTGGCGCAATCTTGCTTTCGCGGGGAGCTTTGTGGGACCCCGTGGCTGGAGACTCCCCAAGAGGCGGAAACGCCCAGCCCGTTTGACGATTTGACTCTGAGTCGGGGGCCCCAAAAGCCGGGAGACCTTGCTGGCAGTCCACGCCGCCCTGAGCAGTCGCATCGCTGCGATCAGTACTGGATTGCAGAAGTCCGTTCGCACCCAAGAAACAACCTGGTTTCTGACAATTCCCCTGTAAATACCAACAAACAATGGTTTCAACCATGGTTTCTTAAGTGGTGCAGGATTTCGTCCACGGTATGTCCGCTTTTCAACAACACACAAAAAGGAAACCAAATCAGCTCCGCCCGAGGTCCACGCCCCAGGAAGCCGGCAATGCCGAGCATGGCAAGGAAGCTGCTTGCACCTCATGCGATAAGTGCGCGCGCGCCTAGCCCCCCGGGGCATGGGATTCTTAGGGTCCTATTTCTGATCTCCGGGAGGTCCCTGGTCGTTGGGAATCTTGGCCGCGATCCCCGCCCAAGGTTGCGACCTCCCATGGCTGACGGAGGAAAACGACCTGCCAGGTGAAGCGGCGAGCGTTTCGCCAGGAACAGACCCCGCGGCAACCCGACCCTGCCTCGGCTTTGGAGGGACAGAGAGAGTGTGGGACTACTGGGCCGATCCTTCCAATTCGAGCGCGCAATGGATGCGTTTCAGCATTCGAGTGCCCAGCACCAAAGATTCCCCGCAATCGAAGAGTATCCAAAGCCATCATTTTGCGTCTTGACGCTCTGCAAAGGCGCATGTCTCCTTGGGAGACAAGTGACAGTATAAAAATTGATTGAATCCCTCCCGCTACTTGCGCGGGACATCGGAACTGAAAACACTCAAGCAAGGGAAGGCAAAAGCCGCATGTTTTGTCATGCGCTCGGCCTTGAACGGAGTATGCGCGCCAAGAAGCGCACGCCGCGACATTCCCCAAGCTGGCCCCAATGAAAGTGGCTTCATTCAACTTGGTTTCATACACAAACCGGTATGAGATGAACTCTTTGGCGCTTGCTTGGCCGGTCTTTTATTGGCTGAGGCAAAGACTTGGCCGATGCAGTCGCAGAATTAATGGGAGGCGGTGCAGTGAATTTCCCATGCCAAATGGAGCACTTGGGGACACAGCCGGCGATTCTCCGGTAGCTTGTTGGTCACCTCGGAAGCTCTGACCCCAAAATCAATTCTGTTTTTTTTCGCCGACCGCCTTGTGCGTTGCAACGCGCCCTCACGACAAATTCGAGGGCGCCGGATGCATCTTGAAGAACTTCTGAGCCTGCGTTGCGGATTGCATGCGTCTCTTTTGAAGGGAAACAGGACGCCGGGTGTCCTCAGACCTGTTTGACACATCCCCAACTTGAGTGGTCCTTGTCTTGCCAGAATCCTGGACGTCCGTCAGTTGAGTGGTCTTGGCCTTGCTTTCAGAAATCAACAAATAAACTTCACATATCGCCATTCGGTCTGCAGGGCACTGACCTGACCCGGCTAGGAGCCGGAACAAGAAGCTCCCACCCTGATAAAACGCAAGACAAGCACTAAGAAAATGATCAAAATGAATGAGTTTGTGATCTATGTATCCTCTCTCAGGTTGCGGGAAACCGAAAAGGGGACCCAAGCCAATGTTGGGGGGTCCTTCTTGTGACACATCCGCCTTATGACGCAACCAATTCGGGCCTGGTTCAGGTCTTTGGAGCCCTCCCGCTTGATGTGGTCGGACGGTAGATCCTCAGAGGCCAGGGGATCGATTTGAACCCGAAAAATCTGAAGAATAAAACAAGTCAACAATCCCATGTTTGCTAGTGGACTCCATGCTTCCCCGCTTGTCCAATCTTGGTGTCTTTGTTTTATCATGACTTTTTGCCCCAATGCCATGCTTTCGAAGTCTGCTGCAAAGCCTCCGAGTTCACCAAGTTGGTATTCATTTCCTGCACGAAGTAGCGGGCATAGATGACCTCAGGTCTGCGCGAGGAATTCCAACGAACACAGGGAATCTCCTGCCCTTGTCAGGATGCCCGGCATCGGCCTCTGGAGGAATTTCGGTATGTGTTAAATCAGCTCCCTCTAATTGGTGGTTTGGAGCCCAGTGGTTTGGAAACCCCATTTACTCTCTGCAAGAACCAGAACCGGGGCTTTCAACCCCAAAACCACCAATCCAAACCAAATGTAAGTATGTCGGGCCAAACAACGCAAAAACATGATGCCAAGTGTCCGAAAACAGGAGACCCCTTGGACTTGGTGGGAGGGCTCCTATGGAATACAGAACGCACTTGCCCTCCACGTAACACTGAGGTTGAAGAACCGCACCAGCACCTTGCTGAGTGGCTTCAAAATGAAATTGGACGTCCAGCAGGAACATTCAAGATTGCCAAATGCACAGTACAAGTGTCCTTCTTGGCGGAAGCCAAAAAGCCCAGTCAGTTGGACTCTCAAGAAAGGATGGCTTCCCTGCGGCGTCCCTTTCAAGAAGGAAGTAGCCCCCAAAAAAACATCCGGTCTGCTCGAGACGCACCTTCCTCTCCGGACCAAGGCAAGGTGTGGCTTGGATTTAAGGATCTTTTGGAGTTTCGGGCACGCCGCCGCACCCGCCGCCCGCCGCACCCGCCGAGGCCCGCACGACGTCACAGAGCACCGTGGAGTCCCGCTGGATGCAGCGCCCAAACTCCTCCGCCTTGATGGCGAAGACCTGGGAGTCCTGAGGCGCAGAGGCGAGGCACGGATCAGCGACCCTCTGACTTGCTGGTTTGGTGGGGATTGGGCGGTGTCCCGTCCACCAAATGCGCAAATCAAGAAATCCAAACCCATCCAAACCAACTAGGGATTTCCTGAATGGAGGGGGGCTTGAAGAAAGACGACGTGATAGCTCTCAGAAATCAGTCAATCACGTGATAATATTCATGATGACAATTATCAGGATGATAATATTGACAATGATAATAATGATAGTAGAAATGATAATAACAAAAATAATAAGAACAAGAATAAGAATAGCAATGACGATAGGGACTTTGAGAAAGTCTGAACATTTCCGCTGGTTCCTCTGGAACAACCTGAGCATCGTGGGCAATTTAGCACACGGAGGAACCAAATTATGGCCCTGGGTTGATAACCTTGGTCACACACCTTTTGGGGGTGGTCGTGATGACACCTTGTTCGGTTCCGGTGCCCTTAGGGGTATTGTCACCTGAGCCACCATCAAACTTGGCATTAAGTAGTCTACCAAAACCAAGCCAGAAAATTTCGGAAGGGGTGGTCCCTTTACCCATCAATCTACCCGACTCGATATTGAGTGTGGCAACCCGGATCATCCATTGGAAGGGGGGCTTAGACCAAGGCCTCCCACTCAGAATGACAGTCCCCTGGGAAGGAATCGTCAGGTACCTTCCTCAGTTTCTATGTCCCATCTGCAAGACTCAGCGCCTGTGACTGGTTTCCTTGATCACTCCAAGTCGCCTACTTTGGACGCCTTTTTTTGCAAGGCCAAAACTGAGCCACCGATCAATCTTAGGGCCAGTACCCATGACCCCCCAAGAAACATGAAAGAAAGAAGCCCAAGCGACAGGAGATATAGCAATGATGTTACCCGTCTTGGGTCAGCGAACACCGAACCTGGGACTTGCTTAAACATGCTGCGTCCCCGTTGGTTTTTCGTCAAGGGGGAAAAACTGGTCCGGTTGTTTCCTGCTTCGGAGGGACGTGTTGGTGACCAAAGTGAGAGCAACCCTGAATCTTGGGACACTATGAAACACCGTTTACGTTGAGAAAGAAAAAGAGCTCGCTCATACAATAGTGACAAATGCACCAGGGAGGAGAAGTCGAGAAGTCAGTCCCTTGAGGTCCACATAGGTCCCCTTTTCAAATCAAGCGGAAAATCAATTGACATGCACAACCAAAAGGCGATGTTGAAAGCAGGCAAACAAAGAATAGCACAACAAAGGGTGGCAGACACATGGACACAAAGTGACAAACGTGCTAGCAATGGCGTCTTTCTGTTTGGAAATAGGTGTCCAAATTTGTGTTGGGTTGTCTCAAGATGTCGCAACCCACAAAATGACGGGATTGCCTCCAACACGCCCACATGTAGCCCTCCCCCACTTTATGTTGGATGGGCATGTTTTTTGGCACCCATGTGTTGGGGCTCTACGTGCATGACGGCAGTATCCCATTTTGTAAGTCAATCTCCCGCATCAGTCCCCTCTCCGTGGAACCCAAACCCATGGAACGGTGACTGTTCTGAGGAAAATGACGACTTGCGGTGGCCACATGTTTTAAAGCCTAGATGAGTCAAAAGCAAAACTGAGCACAATGGTCCGCCACAAACCATGCAAAGAATTCAAGCGGAACTATCCCTTACTCACCTTCATCTACCCAAATCGGTTTTTGATTGTGGATCAGATGATCATTGCTCGGCGATGCATGGAATCCCAAAAACATGGTTTGTTAGAGGGTATGCTTGGGCCAGTTAAAAGCTGACATTTAACAGCTAATTTAGAAAAAACAAGCTCCAAAAGAAATGGTTGTTGGATGTATCCTTTGCCCGGTTCAAATCCCAGCCACTGAACGAAGACAACGCATACAAGTTTGAAAGCTCTAGTTGTACTTTCTCAAAACTTGGGCCAAACCATTGGGAAAATGAGTGGTTTCTGTTTCGAGAACGGCTGAAGAGAATGGGTGGGCTGATGATTCCGAATTGAAATAGTCAAACAAAACAGGTAACCAAGTCCCATGAGCCATTATGCCAGTGATCCCTTTGCATTGCCAGAAGAAGAAAAAGAAAAAACAATACGCCTAGGTGATATTCTCAACAGCCCCGGAACCTCCTGCCGAACCGAATCTGCGGAACCCTCCCTCAAAGCTACCCCAAACCACCCCCTTCTCGTCTATCTGGGGGTAGAAGTGCTTTTTGTTATACTATTTTACTAGGTCCGGTTTTTTAGCCGCAAAGCTGCCAACATCCACGGCATCACCAGCATCACTTGGACCTGGGGTTGCCTATGGGCTCTGATTGGGTGGCAGTTGGGAGTTGCTGGGGGTTGGTTTAAGTTAGGGGGGTTTTGGCTGGCTTAGATCTTCATGAGGGTGGGTGATGCCGGGGATGCGGCCAGCCAACCAACCAACCAACCGACCGATCGACCAACCAACCAACCAACCAACCCATCACCAGACCTAATACAAAACCAGACCTAGTAAAATAATAATAAACAAAAAACACTACCTCCCTATCTGGGCCATGGGGAAAAAAACAAAAACAAAACAAAAACATCCGAGAAAGAAACCAACTGAAACAAACCAAAGGCGCTGTGACTGCCGAGAGGTGCCCGGCATGTAGCCAACTGGAAGTCCACAACGCGGCCTCGCTGAGGAAGCAGCCCACCGGCAGCTCAACCATGTCCTGCACCCCTCCCACTAACATGCCGTTGACGCAATCCCGCCGTTCAGAAACCATGGTGGAAACCATAACGTTTCTTGGAATGTACGTTGGGGAATCGAATCATTTCGGTTTGCTGAACGGCGGTGCGAAATGGACTTCGTCCACCCACAGTAGCACCTCTGGAAAGGTCTGGAAGATCAGTTTCTTCAAGGGACCCTCTCAGTGCCAAGGTTGAAGTGACCCTCTTGTCTCGGTTGTCCTTTGGATTCGTACCAAGAGCCTCAAAAAAAGACATCAGGTTCATGGGGAAAATGTGGTTTTCCCGGTTCTGGGCAACACTTTGGGCGCGTCCTCCCCAGGCCAACTGACAAATCATTTTGTCAGTTGCTCGAGTGTTGCGGTCTTTGTGGCGATTGGCTTGGCTGGCCTTCCCCTGCTTGGACGCTTGGGTTGGTGGAGGTGTTCCGGGGGGGGGCCATTTACCCTCAAGAACCAGAGGTTCAAAATGTCCAGTTCCAATCTAAACCAAACTAGGATAGTTGCCAAGAACCGGTCCGAAGCCCCACCAAAAGTGAGGCAACCCGTCCAGTTGGTGGTTTGGATTTGGATTTGAACCCCTTGATTCTTGTAGAGGATAAGTGGAAAACCACCCCTTTCACACCACCCACCTCCAACACACCGGGCTCCAAACCACCATTTGGAGGAAAGCTGGAAAACGGGCCACCCGATGTCAATTTCCGCACCTTGCCCGGGAAGTCTGTTGGGGTCACCTGCGACCGTGGGCAACCTGGGCATCGGGCGCACAATCGCAGGCAAGCAAACAAGCAGGCGAGGAAGCAAGCCAGCCAGCAAGCCAGCAAGAAGGTAGGAGGCCAGCAGGCCAGCACGCCAGCAAGCCAGCAAGCAGGCAAGCAGGCAAGCAGGCAAGCAGGCAAGCAGGCAGGGAACAAACACGCAAGCAAACAAAGAAAGAAACAACCAAACAAACACACAAGCGAGGAAGCAAGCAAGAAATCAATCAAGCAAGCAAGCAAGCGAGCGAGCAAGGAAGCAAGCCAGCAAGCAAGCCAACGAACAAGCAGGGCAGGCAGGCAGGCAGGCAAGCAAGCAAGCAAACAAACAAACAAACAAACAAACCACAAACAAGCAAGCAAGTAAGCAAGCAGGCAAGAACACACACACAGACAGACACACACACACACCCACACACACACACACACACTTCAACTCCCAAGGGAGGGTGCTAATCCTTTGAGTACAACTGATGAGTCCCGAGTACAACTGATGAGTCTCGAGTACGATGAGTTTCGGCTCGCAAGACGCTTGGCTTTCCGGTAGAATCGAAAACGCTACAGTAGCAACAAGAAGCACGTACAGCGGCAAAAGAAGAGGGCCAAAAGGACCTCAAATGTTGCAGGTACACAAGGCTGATCAGGCCTTGCATCCCTTCCAGTGATGCAGCTTCGTTGGGCAAGGTTCATCACTGGAGGCCTTGCCCCCCTGCGGTTGGAATCATAAGCAATTGTGGTGGCGGTATTCTGCCACTCCGCACACACACGCCCCTCAAAGAGGGGCGAGAACCACTTTTTCGGGGGGGGGGGGGGACACGCGCCCCAAAACCGGGCGAAGACCCCAACAGAAAACAGACAGAGCAGGAAAACAAAGGAAACAGAAAGGCCCCACTTTGGGTCTCCGCGGGCAAAACCCAACCAAGAAACGCGAAAACCAGGGGAACCCGAGTTTAGGGTGAGTGCCGAGGGCAAAGAACCCCAAACAGCCTAGAAACCCTCCTAAACCTGGTAGAAGAAGAGCACCGCGAAGTTGAAGAACGACACCACGAACACGCCATCCCAAAACGGGCGAAGAGGAACAACAGGAAGTAGTTGGAAAAGAGGGAGGAGAAAAGAGGGAAAGAAAGAAAGAGAGAGCGCGAGAAACAGAGAACAAGAAGAGAAAAAAGGGGGGGGGGGGGGCGATGCGTATTTAGGGCGCCGCAGCCCGCCCGGGGGAAGGAGAAAGGAAAGAAAGGGAAAGAGAAGAAGAAGAAGGAGAGAAAAGAAGACAAAGGGAGCGAGATGCGTATTTAGGGCGCCGCAGCCCGCCCGGGGAGAGGAGAAAGGAGAAAAAAGAACAGCAAAGAAAAGAAGCAGAAGACAAGGAGACAAAAGGAGAAAAGAAGGAAGAAGGAAGAAGGAAGAAGGAAGAGGGATGTAGTATGCGTTTTTAGGGCGACGCATCCCGCCCAGACAGGAACAGAGGATGAAGACCAAGGCTCGAGGAGGAAGACGTCGAATCCCACACAGGGGCCAAGAGGACGGACACGAAATAGCAACAGAAGGGGAAGAAGACGTCAAGCCAAACTACGTGAGGAAGAAGAGGAGTAGGAACAGGTAGACGGACAAGAAGACGAAGACGAGGAAATAAGCGGGCGAACAGGAGGAGGACGAACGCGCGGGTCACGAAAGGCAGCAAGAAGAGAACGGGAGGAGGGAGAAGCCATCCCTAGGCGGGCGAAGAACCAGAAGACGGGCACGCGGAACACGAAGGCGAGAAGAAAGAAAGAAGGGTGAGACTTAGCTATGATCTGACGGCTGTCTTCCCTTTAGTGAAACCTCGTTCCTGCTTAAATCGTGAAATTCCGCTGAGCTGCGATAAGAACATTGAGGTCAAATTTTCCGGCGAACCAGCCGGGGTCACACGATGGGTAGAGCCGAGGTTCCCCCAAGCTGGGGTAGTCACACTTCAACTCCCAAGGGAGGGTGCTAATCCTTCGAGTACAACTGATGGGTCTCGAGTACAACTGATGAGTCTCGAGTACAGTACAACTGATAAGTCTCGAGTACGATGAGTTTCGGCTCGCAAGACGCTTGGCTTTCCGGTAGAATCGAAAACGCTACAGAAGCAACAAGAAGCACTTACAGCGGCAAAAGAAGAGGGCCAAAAGGACTTTCAGAATCACTCAAATGTTGCAGGTGCACAAGGCTGATCAGGCCTTGCATCCCCTCCAGTGATGTAGCTTCGTTGGCAAGGTTCATCACTGGAGGCCTTGCCCCCCTGCGGTTGAAATCATAAGCAATTGTGGTGGCAGGGTATTCTGCCACTTCGCACACACACACACACGCGCAAACGCAAACGCAAACGCAAACGCAAACGCAAACGCAAACGCAAACGCAAACGCACACACCAATACAGACACGACAAATACACACAGCAAGATAGCAAGATTCACACACAACCACAGGAGCAACATGTTTGGAGCCATACCCACATTACAAGATCATCCAAGCAGCATCCCCGCTTCTCCGCATGCAGGTGAAGAGTACCTGGCGCGGGGCTCGCGGTGTGTGTCTCGCTGCTGTCTGGTCACTGATCTGTGACAGATAATCTTAGCATTCTAGAAGCCAACCCCAAGCGATGGGCTCTTAACAACATCATCCTCGAACACTTCTACCAAACTCTTGGGACCCAGTTCATGAACTTCCTTGAATGGTCATGGGGAACAAGAGCATAAAGTCATGGGTGTGGATGTTGCGTGTATTTCAGAAGAGAAGCCCTAAGAGGAGAAACACGGGACTGACCAGCAATGATACTGCCCGCAATTTCAAAGAAGTCCCTTTCTCACAGGGTGAACGGTTTAGCAATGTCCCGCCTACTTTAACAAGATGGAAATACTATGCTTGTTGTCTGTTTTGCCTGTTCAATCTTCGTGAGTGTCAAATGTGCAAGAGATTGAGTATCTTGCAGCATGAAGCGCGAACCAGGCCCTGCAATTCCAAAACCTCTACGAAACCAAACCAGGGAAGGTCTGTCAGAACCCCCTGAAAGGTAGGGTCCCAAGTCCCAACCCAAGCTTCATGCCAGGCGGGCTTGTATTTTTTTGTCTTTCATTGTGTCTTGTGGGGAGCTTTCACAAGGCTTTGTCTTTGACAGACCTCAAGTGAGCAAATCAAAACCTGGTGTTCATTTTTTCTCAGAGAGAGAAGCTTCTGAAGTGCCAAACTCGTCTGCGCCGCGACGCTCGCCTGCTTCGTGCACCATGTCGTTGTCCATGGAGTAGGCCAGCTTCCCCGCGTCGCACAAGTACATGCCTAAGGAAACATTCCAAGAACGGGTGCAAAAAAAAGTAGTACCCAGTAGCAGCAGCCTCAGCAGTAGCAGCAGTAGCAGCAGCAGCAGTAGGCAAGCCTCCGTGTCAAAGATATGCTTGCTCCAGCTTGCGCCCTATCAGAGAGGGGCCCCCCAGCGGCGAAGCGAATGGTCTATCAAACATCTGTCGCAAAAAGCTTGCGACTTCTTTCTTGTCAGGGTAAGCCGAACGTGATGGGAAAACCATTTTGGCATTCACAGGCAAACCAAGTGGACACCCCCAATGCCAGTCCGTCCCTGTTAGCTCAGGAAAAACGGAGCAGATCGCCCTTTGCAGTGGTCAATAACTTCTGCGAGCCATGGCTTCCAAAACGCGCGATGTTCCTGTGTGCCTGTGAAGCCATCAGGTATAGCGGTATAGCCCACAGCCAGATGGTCGGCTTGGACGTTGAGTGGCCCTGCACCACTCACTTGCATGGCTGGTGTTTTCAAGATGTCAAGAACCGGTTGTCAAAGATCGTACAAGCTCTGTGCGAGGCACAGTCGAAACTACTCACTTACGGCCGCTTCTCTACTTAGTTTGAGAGTCCCCTATCGTTTTCCAGCGTGTCCATCCTTTTCAGGGGTATGTTTGTTTTGAGTCCCCTAGCATTTGCCATTTTGTGCATTTTCACAATAATGAAACACCAAACGCTAAACTCAACAAAAGTATTGTTTGACGGTACGTCATATATAGGCACATCACTTTAGGGGAATCGCCCCCATGTTACCCAAAAGCAATACACGTTCTTCTCCGCAAAACAAAAAGAAAGCAGAAACATGTTCCCCAGAAGAAAAGAAAAAACACGTCCCACAAAAAAAGCGGAAGCCGTTTTTGGTAGGTCCAAGGAGCGGAAGCCCTGCCGTCCCGGCTCAAAGACAGTGTCCCCGGCCAGGAGGTGCATCCTGAGACCCAAGCGCCTCCAACGACACCTTCCGCTCGGCTAGGAAAACCCGAATATTGTGCCGAGCCTTCGAGAAAAAAACGAAGAAGGACGACACGTCGATGTGGAAAAATCCTGGTTGGACAAGTTACCACTTCTCATCTCTATGCCAATCTGAAAGGGCTGAGGAGAAGGTGGGTGTCTGCTCTTTGGAAGACACGTTCCGGTTGAATTGTAAGGAAGCAGGTATTCCATTTCGAAACACACCCAGGTACCGGCGTCTTGTACTGCCGAGGAGCTCCGAAACAGCATCAACGCCTCGGAATGTGGGAGGGTTCTTTTGAGGGTAGTTTGTGTGGTAGTCGTTTAGGGTGGTTTTCAGGGGAAATCAAAAGGATAGCATCCGTGTCGCATTGGACATCTGGGCGTCCCTTCTGCAAGGTCGGTCCGGTTTTTTTTGTTTCAACTAACAACGGCTTTTGCTTAGGAGTGGCTCGCCACACGAAGTGGCTGGGTGTGGGCACCGTGACTACCAGCAGGGCGGGTGGAGGGCAACATCCCCAGTCTCCTCCCGATCTGTTGGAAGTGCGGAATCCAAATGGGCACAATACCCATCCACAACACCTGTGGTGGGTTCCATGGAGGTGGACAGGAGGGTACATCAATCCTTGGAAAGGTTCGCCCCTAAGCAACAGTGGAATCCGATTCTTAGCTGCGCATGTGAAGCAAGAGATTGGAGAATGCCAATAGGTCAAAGGCCATCTGCAAGCCACATGGGTGTGGCACAGTCTCTGTGTGAATTTCAGGGCACCCAATTCGGTTGCAAATCTGAATGGAAAGCGGGAAGCCCCAATTCCCAGATGGCCCTTCATGCCAAGATACTCAGATCCAACATCATCTTGCAACCGTTCCCGATTCCCCTTTCTTGTTGCACGAGACAGCCCAGGGGCAAATGTCCACGATGACGTGCGGGTGCTGCCGCTTCATCTGCATGAAGAAGCCGTGATGCATCAAAGTTGGGCTCCTGGAAAGTCTACGAACACAGCCGGTCGTGCTTCGGTTCCATGTTGGCCCGGAACTGGTCCGGACCCCTGATTTGGACTCCCGGAAACTTGGATGAGTGCAGCTTCAGGCGGCTTCAGGACTTCCGAACTGTGAATTTCCGAACGAGCCAATCCACATCCAACCAGAAAGCCCTGGTGAGTTGCGGTCTTAGAGCTCTTGGGGGTCAATCAGCACAGAATCGTAAGTGGAATGCCCTCATGGCCATGGGGGCGAAGATGCCTGCAAACAGGCCACTCTTTAGTTCCTGGGAGAGCCGCGGTGTTCACCAAAACCATTGACCTTTGGTTCCAAGAACTTGGTTCACTTGCGGGCCCTTGCGGTAGCCCCTGTCAAACAAACATCGAAGAAAAAACAACCAACAAAAGTTTCACGCAAAAGGTTTGGCCCCTGGAACAGGAGAGATATCCTGGGCCAAACCTTTCAAAACCTCGGGCGAAAGTCGGCGCCCCGGGGAGGATCACTCGCGAAAACTCCCAGCCTTGCAGCGCTAAACCTCAGACCCATATCGCGATGAACTGTGGAGATTTCGGCCGAAAACTGCAATGTCCATGCAGAAACAATGGACTTGGGCCATCAATTCGCGCTGAGGCTTACCCACGTTGTGTAACAGTCGCGGGCGACTGACAAATGTGTGCGAGTCGCAAGATACGTAGGAGCTCCGCAGGCAGCGCCGTCTGCAAAACCTGCGAAGATCTTCCGCGCCCAAGGAAACCGAAAAAGTTGAAAAAAACTTGGCCCACCTTTGCGAATGGGACGAGCTAGTCTGAAAACATGCCACTGGGTAAAGAAACCGTTTGCGAATTTCTTTGTTGGGGCGGGGGGGTCCAACTTGAGATTTGGTGGCAAAGAGGAAACAACTCGAGGGTTCCTACGTTTTTGGGATCCAACTCCTATTTTGTGTCAATATAGGGGAGTTCCTCTACCGAGCCAATATGCATAATTCCACCTCTTCCACCATTCTAGGTTTTGGAGCCCCAAAAACAAGGCAAGCGGCTCTCTGGGAGCCGTGTAACTGTCAGCGACAGCATTTTGCGTGTTTTGAAGTGCGAGAAGGCAAATTCACTGGTATTTGCGGTGTTTTTGCCTCATTTGACTCAAACTTCTTGCGACATGGGCTGCGCAAAGGGGGTCCCCGAAAAGTTCGTTTTTGGATCTAATTTGTGGACCTATCAGCCGCGCGGCTCCCGCACTTTATACTCTTGCGTGTCTTGCGCGCGACTAATCCCAAAGAGCCTTGGCCAGAAACTTTTGCGGATCTGAGCTCAATGCCTTCGCATTGTGCTTTGGTAAATATGCCCAAAATCCCGCTTGTTGGAACACATAAACATAATGCGAAAATGAACGCTTGGATTACACGAGAAGAAGCTGAAATGACCTAGGCTGGAAGCTCCGTCGTGGGATGCTGGAGGAAACATACGTAGTAAATATGCCCAAAATCCCGCTTGTTGGAACACATAAACATAATGCGAAAATGAACGCTTGGATTACACGAGAAGAAGCTGAAATGACCTAGGCTGGAGGCTCCGTCGGCTATGGTGCACATGACAGCAGAAATGGAAGCGCCGCATTCATTGGCCCAAGCACAGGTGGTCGCAACAGAGAAGCGCCGCATTCATTCGCCCCCCCCCCCCCACCCCCCACCCCCCACCCCCCACCCCAAGCACAGGTGGTCGCAACAGAGAAGCGCCGCATTCATTGGCCCCCCCCCCCACCCCCCACCCCCCACCCCCCACCCCCGACTAATCCCAAAGAGCCTTGGCCAGAAACTTTTGCGGATCTGAGCTCAATGCCTTCGCATTGTGCTTTGGTAAATATGCCCAAAATCCCGCTTGTTGGAACACATAAACATAATGCGAAAATGAACGCTTGGATTGCACGAGAAGAAGCTGAAATGACCTAGGCTGGAGGCTCCGTCGGCTATGGTGCACATGACAGCAGAAATGGAAGCGCCGCATTCATTGGCCCAAGCACAGGTGGTCGCAACAGAGAAGCGCCAAATTCATTCCCCCCCCCCCCCCGCACCCCCCACCCCCCACCCCCCACCCCAAGCACAGGTGGTCGCAACAGAGAAGCGCCGCATTCATTGGCCCCCCCCCTCCCCAACCCCAAGACTCAGATTCGATGACAGTTACACGGCTCCGAGAGAGCCGGCTGCCAATAAGCAAAAACAACCCCCAAAGGAAATCCCTCGAATCCCAAGCAACACAACCCCAGCGACCAGTAACTGGACGGGAAGTCCGCGCGCCTCCAGGTTCGCGGTGAATCTCTTCCGTTCCTGAGGAAAGCACTCCGTCTCAAGGTCGGAAGAAGGAAGCAAAACACGAAAAGGGATGCGTCAACATGGGGGACCCACAAATTTGCTTCCTGGGGCTGTGGAGGGGGGCTTCCACGTATTGTTAAATAAGGGGAGAATCTCTGAGAAGGGTGTAGCCTCAAAGAAGGGTGTGCATACACAAAAGAAAGCAAAGTACAAGCACACGCAGAGCTCCGGGCCTCTTCTCGTTCCTTGGGGCAAGCACGCGGCTGCGACAGGTCAACATGTTCAACTGCAAGTTCGATGCGGACCTGCTCTTTGCACCGTGGTTCCACATACTTCTTCAGCCTCACCGTCAAGGCCGTCTTGATGCGGTGATTCACGGCATATTCACCTACAGCATGCGTACTGCGGACAGTGTCGGGCAGTTGTCACAAATCGACTCGTCAACCAGCCAGACAGTGGTGGCCAGAATCTGAACAGGCCTTCCTGAAACAAGGTTCAAAGCCTCCTGGTCTTTAGCTTGATATTGCTCAACCGCAAACACAGCGCCTTTCGCGAAATTCCAAGTCTCCTGTGAATTGACAAACATGTCTCCCCGTCAAATGCGGCGCTTGCGAAATCTGTTCGAGGGGAAAGAGCCCTTCCCAGTTGCTTCATCTTCCCATTCCCCAATTTTCGTGGGTTTCCATGATTGCCTTTGGAAAGCTTCACTGGGCTTCCACCAGAAAAGGGCCCTAACCAACAATCAGATGATTGATTGTGGGCCACATGGCTATGACTATATTTGGAACACCTTCGAAAGTAGCTGCTGGACCTTTTAACTATCCCAATTAAATTTTGTCTCCACCCCAATCCATTCTAACGGGAGGCCGCTTACATTCGGGAACCTGACGTCCGCCCACCCATTTCCCGGATCCATCTGAGAAGCCGATAGCTGTCAGCTTCAGGCTCCGCTCCTTCCACATCCGCGCCAGCCTTGCCATGGTGTTGGTGACATAACCTGCAGCGCAAGGGGAAACAGCCCCTGGAAAAACAGGAGACATCCGGAGGAGGCGGGGTAGCCAGTTGGGTCTGTCTCAAAATCGGATCGGGAACCCTTTGTTGGATGGCTTAAGGGACCCCAGTTCCACAGTGCGCATGCAAGGAACCAGGGGGCTGGATCCCAGATCCCCTAATCTGCCGAAATCTGCCATGGGTTGACTTGAAATATGCAGGGCATCCATACAAACCCTAGCCACCCTTCCCGGCCATCCTACACACCCTGAAAGCCACTCTTTTGCTCATGGAAACTGCCAAATGCCACGCCTCCATGCCATGCCCCCAAACCCCCGCAACCCTTCACCAATACAGCAAATCAAAATCAGAACCAGCCACCCGAAAAAAGGACACCGGCTTCTTTTCCTCCAATCATCCCCAAAGCCGAAAACGAAGAACAAAAAACACCCGGCGCCTCGTGGGTTCCCCCGTTTGGAGTCAACCGTTCAACCTTTTCACCACTCCGCCGGAAGCATCTGCCGCTCGCCCAACTTGGGCTCTGGCTGATGAAGAGGGAGGAGAAGAGCAGCGAGCCGAAGCTCGCCAGCAAAGAGAACATCCGCTCCTCCGGCAGCTTCAGCTTCCTAGGCGACGCCGAAAAAGGCGAAGCTCGTGAAGTGATGGGGTACAAGGGGCCCTCGGGACATCTGAAGCTGGCGATTCATGTCTTAGCCGTTGGGCGCTGCCCTCAGATCTCGGGACGCGTATCCAGGGTGTGCGAACCCAAGACACATTCTGAAGGTGGGCGTGGAAAGAAAGCCAAGATGAGACCACAGTAATTCTCAAGCAAGCAAGCTGAGGGTGTTCTGCGGAATGACCCTGGCGGGTGCAACAGTGATTATATGAACAGAAGCACCCAAAGGGCCTTGATGTCCATCTTTCGGACGGTGGCAATTTTGGCGGCACCAACCATCGAGGTGCAACGCTAGGGGAAACCCACCGACCTGCGCAATCTTCAAATTCAAGGTGCGGCTTCTCCAAATTTCGGGACACAGAGAAGGTCTCCTTTTGGTTTCCCGTTCAAACCATCCAAAAAGGAGTACCCCTTGTGAAACAAACCCATTTGGCGCATGTGCGGGCTAGAAACAGCTTCGATAACAGCCTGCAAACTCTCCGATTTGCTTCTGGCCTGTGAGCCGAACTGAAACAAGCGAGAAAATCCAGGCGGGCGGCATGTTGTCCCGGAGGGAGATCGGATGCAGCCTCAAAGATTACTCTCTATCCATCCAGTCCACTAAACAGCAGCCCGCCTCGAGAGCGACCATTGCATGCTCATGACATAGGTGGTTCCTTCGCAAGTCGCTCACATCCCAGAAAGGGCCATACTTCGAGGAAACTGTCACTTCCTCAACAAACTGGAACACACAAAAAAACGCCACCACCACCAAACCCATCCCTCCGACTCACAAACGGTCCTAAGTCAGTGCCGGCCAGGCCCTCCGTGTACACCCAGCCCTCCTCGGATCGCTGCGGTCCACCCAATCGGGGAATTGGGGAATCGGGGAATTGGGGGGAGGAGGAAAGGGAAATCATAGAAGGAACCCCAAACAAATCTCACTTAGGGGTTCCCTTGCTCAAAAAACGTTGAGACAGAGCCGATTTCACGAAATGATCCGATTCAAGGTGCGTCGCTGGTGCTGCCCAGCATGTACCACAAGCAGGCAAGGACATGGGTCAGTAAAGCTGTGGATACGAAGAGCTGAGTGACGTTGATGACGAAAATCGCCTCCGCTGAAAGGGCCTGTTGGACACACCCTGAGTGTGAGTTCTAAGGGATTTTTTGGTGGGCATCAGAACCTCCTTTTTGAGGATGGTATCAAAAGGAAACCAAAGCCGCAACATTTCTCCGTAGGAAGTGAGAAGTGTCCTTCTTGTGTTTTCTTTTGTTGTGATTTGAGGGGGAGAAACCGCTTCCGTTGCTTGTTATTTCGTGTGCCCTTTTTGGTCCCCATGTGCTGGGGTCCCCAGTTTCGACGTGCGCGCCAGGTCACAAACTCCGTGCTCGCCCTGTGCCGCACATCGTCCACCAGGCGCTTCCTCACAAAAACGTGGGGGGAGGGGGGGCCTTCTTTCTCGGAAAACCGTCAAAAAACACGCTGTTGGGGGGGGCCTTTTTTGGGGCATGCTGCAAAACTTCGCTTTCGAACATGTTGGCACCCTCCCCTACCTCCAGATGGCTGAAAGCCAAGCTCGTGACGTGTGGGGCCCCGTAGCCACCTAGCCGCGTCGCAGCTTGATCACGCGGAAGAGCCGCGCGAAGCGCAGCATCCGCACCACGCGCCCGCTCCTCCGAAGCAAATCGGCGGCAAATCGGCGGACGCCGATGAGAGGACGCGGCGGACGCCGATGAGATCCCTTCACAAGCTGAGAGCAGAATTTGCTGAAGACGAAATCCATCGCATCACGAAACCCTGTGACACACCCGGGTTTACTTTTGAACAAAAGCCAGTTCGCACGAGTAATGGATGAGACCCTCTAAGTACTGGTTGATAAATCACCAATCCCAGGTGCGACTGCTTCCCAGTTAGAAGCTCCATCTCGCACCATATGGTTGAAACGTTCGGCCGGTGAATCGAAGACGGCTCCAAGGTACGGAGTTCGTGAAAAAACAGATCAACTTCTTCCTGCCGCTCCGATTTTTGCATCCCATTCTGTCCAACCCACATCCCATCCCAAAAAGCCCCAAAAATACGCCCAGGTACCCCTGACCCCTCCCTGAAAGCTGCCCCCCAAAGCCGCCCATCTCGGCCTATCGACAACAAGAGCTTTCAGCTGGGAACGACGCGCATCGGAGATTTCCTCAAAGTCCGGGCCAGGCTAAGTGACTCCGCCGCGCTGTTGCCGATGGCCGTGGTGATCCAGTCTGTGAGCACCTACCCAGTCAGGGAAAGGTCCCAGAAAAAAGCACCCCCTCCTACTGCCCACAAAAAGGGAACAACAACAAAAGACAAAGAGACGCTTTGGACAGAAATCATGGGCTCAGGCTGCTTTGAGTCTTTTTGCTTAACAACCAATGGAGCGCACCAGGAAGATGTCGAAGGACATCCAGGTGCGCGCATACCTAGCGGATGCACGTCCCGTATGACGATACAATGCTACAAGCGCCCGAAAAATGTGCCTGAAGTTGGAGGCATCGTGGCAGGACCTGTGTAATTTTTGGGGGGACACCCAAATGATGGGCCTTTCCTGTTGGTGTCCCTTTAAAGCCAACCAAAAGAGGGTTCCGAGATCTAAGTCTTGCCTGGCAACTGCTGAAGAATCATGGAGCGATCTCTGACCAGCTTGCCGTTGATGTAGATCGCCGTAGACATACATGCCACAATATCGAGCGTCCAATAGATAGAGCAAAGCATCTCAGAGCTCCAGTCGTTCCAAAAAGCGCGCCATGAAAAATGAGAAAATGAGAAAATGATAAAAACTCCACAGCGACCGCTTTGTGATAAGAAAGATCCCCAGAAACAGGTGCAAACCGAAATCGGCCGATCACCTGGCACCCCATGCATTGGCATGGAACATATCACCGGTTCAAAAGCCAGTCTGAGGGTGGGTCCGCCAGGGTGCTCAGCAGAGTGCTCTTCGGCACGTCAAAGACCTGCGGAAAAAAAAGAGAAAAAAAAAGGAAAAAAACTCGTTGAGAGCCCCTGGTTTTGCAACAAAGCGCTTGCGGGGAATGTGCAAGCGCAAGCCGGGAACACGTAGGTTGAAAATGCGCGCAGTGCAGTGAGTATATGGGTGAGTGCGAGGGAGGAAGGGAGGGAGGCGGAATGGGTGGATGGGTGGGTGGATGGGTGATGGGCCGGTGGGTTCTTCGGTGCTTGCATGCTCCCGTGCTTGCCTGCAGGCGGGCTTGCTTGCGGGCATGCCTGCTTGCTCTTTTGTGGTGCGCAAGTGTATGCGTGAGTGCGCATGCTTCGCACAATGTTCCACAAACTGGGCTCTCCTTTAGAAACTGACAGGTTCAAAATTCATTTAAAGTCCTGCGTATCGGTTGTTAAACAAGCCAAGATATCAAGTGCCAAACCTTGTAATTAGCAGGGTACTTGCATCATAGGGACTTAGCCACGCCCTGTGCCCACCGCATCTCTCAAGGCCTGCATCGGAATCGTCACCTGAGAGGGGTCAACACTTACCAAGTGGGGGTGCGGGGGGTGCCATCATCTTCTAAAGGCCTGACAGGTGGAGTTCAATGGAAGTCTCAATATCTCGAAGGGAGAAGCGGATCGATTGCAGATGTGGCTGTCCCATTCACTTATAGATTGTGAGGCTTCGATTCGGTGAATCACATCTCCACCGGTCCACCTGGGAGAGGACCAATAGACCGTGGCTCCCCGACTGACCAAATCTGACAAGGCACTAGGTCGTAGGCGAGGAAGAGCATGGCACAGAAGTCCTCAGTCACAAAGAGAGAGAGAGAGAGATCAACTGCCATCTTCTTTTAGCCTGACCGTGACCCTGGTTTCTGGGGTTGAAAGCCACTCCCACACCACCAAAAAGACAAGAAGACAACACTGGCACAGCACTTGGTTGAAACAATCCCCTCTTTGCTTCCCTCAAGCACCGGGATCTGGCTGCATGTCGCGTCTGAGGCAAGGAAGTCTCGAATCGCAAGCCCGGCGGAACCTCAATCTTGAAACATTGCAGGGGACAACCTGTAACATAGATGGCTAGAGTTTCAAGAGGAACCCCCTTCAAAAGTGGTGAAGCATGGTGACCTTCTAGTATTAATAAAAAGAAAGCTCTTGCCCCCTTCTGGGCTTTCCTTTTTGAAACTACGGAGATTCCGATGGCTCCCAGGTCGTGGCCGCGAGGCTCGCCCTCTCCATGGCCCTTCAGCCAGGTGTCCCACAAAATCCTGGCACTGGAGGACCTAAGCTCGATCGCTGAGTGAACGTGGACCTCAAGGAGTTCTCGTGAGAAGATCTCGGTGTTCAGCCCATTGGAGCCAGCTCTGGGCACAAAACAAAAGCCCAAAGATGTTGCACCCATGGTGCGAAATGGATTTCGTCCTGTAGCATGACCCTCGAGAGAATGCGGTCATCATTCGCGCTCTCTCTCTCTCTCTCTCTCTGTCTGCAGCATGCGGCGGATGCACCGGGAACATGTTCTTGCATTTCCAGGCGTTGTCCTCAGGAAAGCAACGAGACCGCTCGGACCGCTCGGAGGCAACCAGGGATCCCTGAACCTCTTGGAAAAATGAGGGGTGCAGTGTGCAGTGATGGCAAATTTGTGCAAAGGAAGCCAGAACAGAGTTGCCAAATGGACCATCCGAACGCGAGCATCAAACACCCAATTTCGAACACCCATGAAGTGAACATGTCGATGAGAAACCGCCGAGCCCCCGCGGCCTCCAATTTCTCTGGGCCACCGAGTCGGGAAAGTTTCGCTCGCGGTCAAACTGAGCTCCAAGCTGTTGGTTTCCCGAAAACCAAACCCGGGGAATGCAAACGGGAAAACCACAAGTTGAAAGCAAAGAAGAAAGAAACCACCAAAATGGCAACCGGGTCCAAAAGCGAGAGACGCACAAAACGCCGCATTTGTCTTTCCCCAAAGCCCAACCCGAGCCAACCGCTCCAACCGAGAGCTCCTCCGCAGCGGCGAGCTCCACCGAGCTCTTGGTGCCGTGGCGCTCGTCTTCGTGCAGCGGCAGCTGGCATTGGCGCTTTGGCGCTTTCGCTTTCGGCTCGGACCGGAGACATCCATCGGATGTTGAACAAAAAAAGCATGCACTTTTTTACAGGTGGCTTGAACAACGAAGAATCTAAGAAGAAGACGTTTTACAGGGGGGTGTAATAAATAAGATGGTCCTCTCACGGCTTCTTTTGTTTGCCCTGTTATTTTAGGAGCCCGTGAAGGTGGGATTGTTTTGTGGTGGAGATTGGAGATAAGGAAAACAAGGTCCAAATTTTGTTGGGATGTTTCGCTTTTTGCTGGACTTGTACTCCCAGAGGTCATGTCCCTTGAGCTTTCCGCTTCCGCTTGGACCCTGTGGATATTTAAACCTGAAAGTAGACCTCCAACCACTTGTGAGGTGGCACCGCACGGAACATGTATCCATCAAGTGAGCCAGTGAAACTCTAATCGGTGTCTAAAACATGGCACCGATGTCTGGCGCTCGGAGTCTCCCTACTTTTCATCTATTCGGGTTTCGAGTGTGACTGTGCTATCCCCAGCCCCAGAACTTCCCTCAAAGCCGGAATCTCTCCTGAACGCTGCGAAAAGCTGTTTGGGGGAGACCCCAAAGCTTTTGGATAGGGGGGAAACGGGTTACAATCTAAAGTTGCATGCGTTTCAAAGCCCTCTGGAAGGTCAGAGTTTTTTGCGAGAACACTCGGTCTTGATTTTGTGCATGTGCAATTTGCGTTGTTCTTCTCCGCAGTCATCGTCCCTCCTCTGGCAGCCAACTTGGCTACTACTTTACGCATTCGGCACAAACGCTGGCGTAACGCGAGCGCGGAGGATCTTCTCTTCTAGAAAGTCCTGGCATCCCAACAATCTCGCGTATCCCTCAGACTCCAGTTGAGTGAGGAGAAATGGCTGGCAGGCCTCTGCCAGCTTGGCTTTCCAACCTGGATACCCTTCAAGCCGGTTTCTGCCAAACCGGAATGATGTAGAGCCTGCAAACACAACCAAGGAACCTGGCCGTTTCAAGCAGCGCTTCAGCGAAATTCAGTGATCTTCAAAACGTTTCAGTCCACAAAACCGGTCTCAAGAGTCTGCTTTCCATACAAGCTTAGTACAAGTACCAGCAACCCCTACATTGGTTGTCTAAAATCCACAAGAGGTTGATGATACTAACTTCAACATTAACTCCGATGAAAACATACTTCTGGTTTTGGTGTGGGTGTGTCCCAAAATACAATTAATTTCGGACCCCAGGAAAAATGTGATTTTTTCAAGAGGGAGGAACCAAGAGGAAAACCAACATCTTGTAGGTCTGAGAAAAGACACAGCCACATCCCTCTGAGCGTTTCGCGTCACGATCCCTTCGCCTCAGAGCTGGGCTTCGTGATGCACCGCCGCTTCAGCTCCTCGGGTTTTGGAAACCGAGGCTTGGAGCTCGGGATCGAAGCCAAACGGGTGCACGGAGCGTGTGCATCCGTGTGCGTGTGCATCCGTGTGCGTGTGCGTGTGCGTGTGCGTGTGCGTGTGCGTGTGCGTGTGCGTGTGCGTGCGCGTGTGCGTGTGCGTGTGCGTGCGCGTGCGCGTGCGCGTGCGCGTGCGCGTGCGCGTGCGCGTGCGCGTGCGCGTGCGCGTGCGCGTGCGCAT